TGGGTTTCCTCACTCAGTATAATATAGTTTCTCATCTTGTGGTGATCCCGAACAACAAAATTATTTCTTTTTTAAAATACTATATATAAAATTGATTTTTATTGAGCTCTACATTTTTCTCTACTCTTTTCCCTGCCTCTCCCCTCCCCCTTTAACCCTCCCCCAAGGTCCCCATGCTCCCAGTTTACTCAGGAGATCTTGTCTTTTTCTACTTCCTATGTAGATTAGATCCATGTAAGTCTCTCTTAGTGTCCTCATTGTTGTCTGAGTTCTCTGGGATTGTGGTTTGTTGGCTGGTTTTCTTTGTTTTATGTTTAAAAACCACCTATAAGTGAGTACATGTGATAATTGTCTTTCTATGTCTGGGTTACCTCACTCAAAATAATGTTTTCTAGCTCCATCCATTTTCCTGCAAAATTCAAGATGTTGTTCTTTTTATTTTTTGCTATGTAGTACTCCATTGTGTAAATGTACCACATTTTCCTTATCCATTCTTCGGTGGAGGGGCATTTAGGTTGTTTCCAGGTTCTGGCTATGACAAACAATGCTGCTATGAACACAGTTGAACACATGTCCTTGTGGCACGATTGAGCATCTTTTGGATATATACCCAAGTGTAGTATAACTGGGTCTTGAGGAAGGTTGTTTCCTAATTTTCTGAGAAATCACAATGACATCCAAAAGGTTTGTACCAGCTTGCATTCCCACCAGCAATGGAGGAGTGTTCCCTTTTCCCCACAACCTCTCCAGCATAAGTTGTCATCAGTGTTTTTGATCTTGGCCATTCTTACAGGTGTAAGATGGAATCTCAGAGTTGTTTTGATTTGCATTTCTCTGGTGACTAAGGATGTTGAACATTTCCTTAACTGTCTTTCATCCATTTTAGATTCCTCTACAACAAAATTATTTCATTGCTAATACATAACTGTGTACATAATACATCGCTAATACATACATATGTTATGAATCATAATGTAAACATATGCTATGTGACCCCCTCCAAAGGGTCATGGCCCACATGTTGAGAACTCTGCTTTAGGCGAAGTTTAGGAAGCAGGGCAGCTTAAACAAAGGAATCGTCACATTAAGGATCTGTTTACCAGTTTCCTTATTGCTGATTCTCTTTGGAGACCTGTGGTATATTGTGAACCTAAATGTGTAGATATGTGGATCATGCTCTGGAGTTCCAGAAGAGGAAGTTGTAGAGCAGGCAAGGCTAGTAGAGTGTCCCACCTGTTCAGGTGGAGCAAGGCCCACCAGCATGGGGTACTTACATCTCAAAACTAACCTCTTTTCCTCACCCATATTATCTTATTTTCTCATTTCTTCGCCATTAAGGAGACATTGATATGTATCTATTAAGATGAACATCAGGGTTTTACCAGAGAGGTGAATATTGATGGAGGCAAGGTGGCATGACCTGAATGGAAAGGAACTTCCGTTTGCTTGCTGCCCCTTCATTCTGTTGCTTAAACTGTTTAGAGTTGAAGGGGAGGAGTGCCCCAGTCTGAGCAGGAGGGAACCAGTTATACTGGTTCTGGGTAAGTACTTTAAACTCACAAATGCCTGGGTGAGAGGCCCATGAACACCTGCTATCAGAATATTGGCAGTATTTGCCAGGAGGCGAGTCCCTGCATCCTTTCAGAAGGAAGGAAAGCAAGGAGGGGACAATTTATGGTAAAGCATCTGACACTTGCTCAGCCTCCTGAGTGAGGCAGAGAAAACTGAATAACATAGTGCAATGCCTCAAGCTCAGTAGCAGTTACATGAAGCTGATGTTTCATTTGTAGTAAAAAGCTAGCTCTAAAAATGGTGTGCCTGTGATCCATTGATTTGCTATACCCCTGACCTTCTTTTGTAGTTTGAGGCACTGAGGTAGAGTTGGGAGAGATAGCCCAGAGACTTCTGTCAGCTTTTGGTGGGTTTTGCTTGTTTGACTTTAGTCTAATTCCTGTTTAATTGCATATTTTTTGTTTTCCTACTTTTGACTTAGCCTGTCTGCCTTTCTGCTACCCCTGTTTAATTGTTGACCTTTCTGTACCTGCCTACTTGTCTGTCAACTATCTACCCATTTGTCTACTTGCCTACCTGTTTGTATAACTGTCTTCATGCCTATCCATCTGTTTTTCCATCAGTCTATGTGTCTGTTTGCCTGCCTGCCTACCTATTTGCCCCCTCACTTACCTACCTATTTAGCCTTTTATATACATATCTGTCTACCATATATGAGCAGGTATTTACCTACCTTAAAACTTGTCTATCTACCTGTCTCATCTCTCCACACTCTACTGCCTAGGTTGTTACTATGAGCACTCCACTAAGTTAATATCATAGGGACTATTTTTCTCACCCTGGAAAGGTAGTATATTATAATGACCACACAAGTTGGATTCCTATGCTTAGCATTGGATATTTAGGTCTTTGCGATTCTTGGAGGATGGTGGTATTCTATGCATTGCATGCTGTTTAACTGCTTCTGTGACCTACTAGAGTCCACCTTTATTCCCCCTTCCAAATTGAGACACTAAAAATGTCTCTAGACATCGTCAGATTGTCATGACTGAGATTGCTGGCACATAGCAAGCAGGTACTAGGTATTACTAAACACAGTATTGTCATCCTGCAGTTTTTAACCTACAGGCAGTTCTTCATACTTCCTTGCACAGTACTATCGTGAGAGACAGTGGAGGTCTGGGATTACTTGGCTGATTCTCATGAGCCTAGGCAGTCATCCACCTCTGTGTGGGCATCTGACGCAGCCCTAGATGTTTTGTTCTGTTCTAAATATAGTGAAGTGACAAAACTAGACAGACTTGTGAGGGGTGTTTACTCCCAGACCTTGTTCCTAGGTTGACAGTCCCATCCTTACGTTATTTAAAATCAGCAGTGGAGAGAGGTCACATTGTGAATTGGACTTTGTTTCTGGTAAACCCTTGCCTGGGAAAGGCAGACCCAGGGTAACAGTAGCTGGCTCTTTGAGTCGGCACTGTCGCACTCTTGCTGCTGCTGTCCTGTGTCTTCTGAATCTCTCTCAGAATCCATCAGCCAGATCATTAGCCTTTCCTATACTTGTGCCTTCAGAACCACAGTCCTGCTTCTCAACACACGCTGGGCTCTGTCCTCTGTGCCTGTCAGATGTGAACTTGGCCTTCTAGGAGTTTTCAGACCTCTGCTCTTCTTCTCCATCCCTTGGTCCAATAACTGTCATTCTTCTTGTTGTGGTCATTATTTCATCTCCTTCTAGGAATGACCTGGGGGTATAGTTTTGTGGAGGAGGTTCTAGGTGATACCATCCTTTCCCTCCTGCCTTGAGCGAGATCTATCAATGGTCATAAGCCCATCTGAGGATAGTACAAGGGCCTAAGAGTTGACCCACCTAACATTCTTTGGTGGAAAGCCAGGAATTCATGCGTCTATCCTCTGACTGCATAGTATTAACAATCTTGCCTAAAAAGGTGTATCACTGTCTTTGTGTTCTAGGCATTTGATAATGGAGTTTTTCCCACTTCTGTGCTTACTTCCCTCCCAGCCTCTGTTCTTTCCATTTCCATCCTAGGAACTCTTAGTTGCTAGAAAGGGAGACATAATTAGGCTACATTATTGGTGACCCTGTGACTGGGGGTTGTCTTAGTTTCATGCTCCACATTCATTTGTGTTTGGGAAACCATTGGCTGGGAGAGACAGATTCTGAAGGAATCTGGGACTTGAGGAAGATTTTTTTCCCAATTTTCTGAGAAATTGCCATAGTGATATGCAAAGGGACTGTACCAATTTTCACTCTCACCAGTGATGCAGAAGTGTTCCCATGTCTCCACAACCTCTCTAACTTAAGTTGTCATCAGTATTTTTGATCTTGGCCATTTTCTGAGTAATCTTGTATCCTGCTACATTACTAAAAGTGGTTATGAGTTGTAGAAGTTCCTTGTAGAACTTTTGGGGTGACTTATTTAAATTATCATATCAGCAAATAGTCAGAGTTTGATTTCTTCTTTTTTCGATTTGTATCTCCTTGATCTCCTTTTGGTGTCTTATTGATGTAGCTAGGATCTCAAGAACTGCATTGAATATATATGGAGAGAGTGCACAACCATGTCTTGTTCCTGATTTCAGTTTGATCCCTGTGAGTTTCTCTTCATTTAGTTTGATGTTGGCTGTTGACTTGCTGTATATTGCCTTTATTATGTTTAGGTATGTTTCTGGTATCCCTGCTCTCTCCGAGACCTTTATCATGAAGGGATGTTGTATTTTCTCAAATGCTTTTTCATCATCTAATGGGATGATTTTTCAGTTTGTTTCTATGGTACATTAACAGATTTTCATTTGTTTTATCATCCCTGCTTTTCTGGGATGAAGCCAACTTGATCATAGTGGCTGGTGGTTCTGATGTGTTCTTGGATTCGATTTGCCACTATTTTATTGATTATTTTTGCATTAATGTTTATGAATGAGATAGATACGTAATTCTCTTTCTTAGTAATGTCTTTCTGTTGTTTGGGTATCAGGGTAATTGTAGCCTTATAAAAAGAGTTTTGCAATGTTCCTTCTGTTTCTATTGTGTGGAACAATTTAAGAAGTATTTGTTCTTCTTTGAAAATCTTGTAGAATTCTGAGCTAAAACCATCTGCTCTTGGGCTTTTTTTTTTTTTTTTTGGTTGGGGACTTTTGGTGACTGTTTCTATTTCTTCAGCAGTTATAGGTCTATTTAATTTGTTTATCTGGTTTTGATTTAATTTTGGTAAGTGATATTGATTCAGAACGTTGTCCTTTTCTTTTAAGTTTTCCAATTTTGTGGAGTACAGGGTTTCGAAGTATAATTTCCTCCGTGTCTGTTGTTATGCCCCCTTTTTAATTTCTGATTCTGTTAATTTTGATTTTTCGTCCCTGCCTTTTGGTTAGTTTGGATAACAGTTTGTCTATTTTGCTGATTTTCTTGAAGAACAAATTCTTGGTCTCATTGATCCTTTGTACTGTTTTCTTTGTTTCTGTTTTGTTGATTTCAGCTCTCAATTTGATTATTTCCTGCAGTGAAGTTCTCTTGGGTGAGTTTGCTTCTTTTTGTTCTAAAGTTTTCTAATGTTCTGTTAATTCACTAGTGTCTGATTTTTCCAGCTTCTTTATGTAGGTGTTTAGTGCTACAAACTTTCTTCTTAACACTGCTTTCATTATGTCCCATAAATTTGGGTATGTTGTGTGATCATTTTCATTGTATTTTAGTAAGTGTTTAATTTCTTCCTTCATTTTTTCTTTGGCCCATTGATGATTCAGGTGAACATTGTTTAATTTACATGTGTTTTGGGGCTTTCTGGAATTAGCTATGCTGTTGAATTCTAATTTTAAACCATGGTGATCTGATAAGATAAATGGGGTTATTCTAATTTTTTTTGTATCTGAAGTTTGTTTTGTTACCTAGTATGTGGTCAATTTTTGAGAAGGTTCCATGAGGTGCTATGTTTTTATGTTTTGATGGAATATTCCATAGATGCCTGCTAAGTCCATTTGAGTCATACCATCTGTTAGTTCCCTTATTACTCTGCTAATTTTTTGTCTAACAGACCTGACCATTGGTCTGAGTGGAGTGCTGAGGTCTCCCACTTCTAGTGTGTGGTATTTAATGTGTAATTTAAGCTTTAGAAGCGTTTCTTTTACATCTGAGGTACCCTTGTTTTCAGGGCGTAGATGATCAGTATTGAGCTCTCCTCTTGATGCAGTTTTTTGTGACTAATATGAAATGTCCTTCTTTGTCTCTTGATTGATTTTAGTTTGAAGTCTATTTTGTTAGATATTAGGATAGGTACACCAGCTTGTTTCTTAGGTTCATTTGATTGGAAATTTTTTTTCCCATCCCTTTACTCTGAGGTGATGTCTATCTTTGAGGTGGAGGTGTGTTTTTTTGTATGCAGCAGAAGGATAGATTCTGTTTTTACATCCAGTCTGTTAGCCTGTGTCTTATTATAGGTGAGTTGAGTCCATTTATATTAAGGACTATTAATGACTAGTGATTGCTATTTTCTGTTTGCTTGAGTTAAAATTATATCTCCATGGAGCTAGACTAGAGTTCATAGGTTTCTTCCTACTTTATAAAGCCGGGGCTATGTGTTTTGATAACGTGTAAGCATGTGAGTGAGTAAACATTTCAATATGGATTGTGCAAAAAATGAATAATTTATTTAGCAGAGAATATGAAATTGAACTTAGTAGTTAGTAATGGAGAATCAAATTAAATAAACTTGCAATGGTTTGTAGGCTCCTTGGAGATTTCTTAGTGTTGGTTTCAGAACAATAACAGGAAATCCCATTCTAAAGTTAGGGAGGATCCAAACATGTTAGCATGGGGTGTTGTCCAATGACATTTGAAACTTATCTGCATGAGTGACAACTTTAAGTTAGTGTTAAGGGGGTGACAATGTGCTAAGTGGGAACTTGTTTGGAATTCTATAGTCCAGCTCCCTTTATACCTACTTAGGCAGATACTCTGGGACAGTGGCCCTACTATGATCCTGGTACTCACTAGGGTCTGGGAACCACTGCTGTATATACTGGGGGAAATCCGGACGTGTGATATGTGTGTGTATGTAATATATATGTACATATATACATACACACATTTGTATCTATTTTGTGAATGCATGTCCATATATGTGTATATATAGGTACTGATGTATGTATATGTAAGCATATAAAGACCCCAAACTGATATCACTTGTCTTTCTCACTCTCTTTCTACCCTGTATAATTAAGAAATGGTCTCTAGCTAAACTTCGAGCTCACTGTATCTTGTCTAGTCTGGTTAGCCAGCTTGTTCCAGGGATTCATTCCTTGTCTCTGTTTCTCATGTGCTGAGGTCGTAGGTGAAACACAGTGCCCACTTAGCTTTTACATGGGTGTTGGGACTCTGAACTGCGGTCCTTGTCTTTGTATGGCAAACCCTGTACTTACCTGACTATCTTCCCAGCTACTATAACACACTTTCCTTATGCAGTCTTCTCTCAGCAGGCATCCATTCCACATGTTGGCTTCTGTGAGTAATACTATAATAGTTCTACATCTGACATCCTGAGTTTCATCACCAGCACCAAGATGTGGAAACCAGCTCTCTGTTGCCTCTGCCATTGCACACACATACCCACATGCACCCACATGCATATTTACACACACACACACATACACACACACACACACACATTTCTGCATGGTAGCACATGCCTTTAATGTGAGCATTGCACTTATTCCAGCTTTGTCCTCTGACTTACTGATTTCAGTTCAGGTCATAGGGCAGTTTTGTTCTAGTATTTTAAAAGGCCTTTATACTGGTTTCCATAGTGTCTAGGCCAATTTGTATTTCCAGCAACAGTAGAAAGGAGGTGAATTTTCAGCTATATATACCAATGGGAAAGAGCAAGCAAATATGTGGATTTACTCTTTCTGGGTAAGGCATGGTAACTAGGAAGACAAAACAAATTCCTGAACTCAAATCTTCAAGTAGAGAATTCAGGGTGTCCATCTGATTTGCATTTTTCATCAGTGTGTGCTGATTTTACAGTTTTCACAATTAACCACCAGTAATTGTGGGATGACTGAATCCCAGAGTATAATTGAGGTTCTTTTTAGGAGCAAAAGAATGAACCTGCATTGTCTTCTGAATAAATTGCATAACGTAGGGCATTGCTGGCCAAAGGTTCATGTGGTTCCAGACTGGAGTAGAAATAACCTCATTGCTTTTCTCTATCCAGTTTAGGGTAAACTCCAACTATTTTTTGAAACACGATACATCCGTTTCTTTAATGAGCATCTAAACGGTCAAACCTTCTGGGACTGTTTTGTGTAATCATTCCCTGAGATCTCTATTTTCTATCTTCTCTAGCTATATCAATCCCCACACTCCTTTTATAATAAAACTGTTTAGTTATAAGAAACTAGATATGAAATGAAACTTGGAGCTTCATTGGGAATTCAGCCTTCCAATGGTATGTTTTGCTTTCATGATTCAGGGGTTCCACAAAGGGAAGATTTGGAGGCTAAACACCAAACAATTTAGTCACAGGGAAAGACAGTTGTGCTGCATTTAAATGCTTTGCTGCCATTGTAACTGTTCAGAAATGTTTATTAGACTGCTTTCTTCAAGAACAACAGTGGCACATTCTTAGAGACAGTAGATTGTGACATAGAAAACTCTATTAAATTTCATTTCATTTGAGACCACAGAAAGGTGCAGGGGCCAAGTGAGATCATTGGCCCCTCTTCTTTCTACCTTCTAATACCTTTGTTGTTGATATTTGTTTGTCCCAGTGCCGGAGACTGAACCCAGTACCTTAGGCTTTCTAGGTAAGCTCTCTGTACTTAGCCACACCTCAAGCCTCTGCTCTTTCTGAGAGACTGGCCTTTGATTGTTGGCCTTGATAGGGTGTTTCCCATCCCCATATCCCTATGCAAATATCTACTCTCCATCTTCCTTTCTTCCCCTCTGCCTCTCTCAGTTGCTGTGTCTCTAACTACTGTTGCTGTCCTCTGTGTATCCACTTGTTTCTTTCTGGTTTAGACCTTGTTTGGAGTTAAATTAGGGTTTCCTGATGATGCACCATGGCTTATAGATGGAGGGTGTCACTCCTCTAGTTGCTTAGTAGCAGACTGCCATTCTGCCTGGCCTTACTGCCAGTGGGACTTCCACACCAGTGAATACTGTCCTCTTGGGTGCTTCTCTTGCAGGGCATTGTTCCTGTAATGGGTCTGTTTCCACTTGCTAGGGATGCGATCTAAAAGGTGGGCTTTGATCAAACATGACTATCCATGTAAGAAGAGGAGATCAGGATACTCACAGGTTCAGAAGGAAGGCAGTGTGAGACCAGAGGGAGAAAGCAGCCATCTACAAACCATGGGCAGCGACCTCAAAGTAAACTAGCTCCTTGAAAACTTTATCTGGGACTCCCAGTCTCTGGAACTATGAGTCAGTGCTATTCAGTCTGCATAAGTTACTTTTGTTATTGCTGCTGTTATTAAGAGGTATCTTCAGGAAGAAAGCATTTATTTTTGGCTCCCAGTTGGAGGGTTCAGTATGTTTTGGTGGCGAAGTCAAAAAGGCAAGAGATTATGGCAACTGGTCATTTTGCATCCACAATCAAGAAGTACAAATGAATCCTACTACTCAGCTCAGTTTCTCCTTTTTATTAAGTCCATGACCCTAGCCCAGAAGATGGCGCTGTCCACAATTAGTGCGGGTCTTCCAACTCTGATAACATAATCTAGATAAATTCTTGGACATGTGTAGCGTTTTATTTCCACAGTGATTCTAAATCCCATCAAGTTGACTGTCATAATTAACCTTCATCATACTTTATATTCTTTAGACTTAGGTATTTTTTTTGAAGATTCACTTACTTTTATGTATATGAGTATTTTGCCTGCATGAATATATGTGCACCATGGTGTACAGAGCCTGGGGAGACAAGAAGTGAGTGTTGAATCTCCCAGAACTGGAGTTGCCATGTAGGTGCTGGGAACTGAATTCTAGTCCTCTGCCAGATCAGCAAGTGCTTTGTAAAAAGTGAAAATAGATTTTTTAATAGAATGTATTCTGATAGTACTCCCCCCGAAACTTCTCCCATATCCTCCTCAGTTCCCCTCCAACCCAAATCCACACTTTTCTTTCACTAAGATACAGGCATCTAAAAAATTAGTAAAAATAAAACAAAACATACCAGAATAGTATAAAACAGAGAAAGAGAAGGAAAAGAGCCAAAGAAATACATATAGACAGAGACACACATATTTGCATATACAGATATCCTATAAAAACATAAAATCAGAAACCATAATATATATGCAAAGAATCTATTAGGAATAAAGAAGCCCCAACAAAGCACTGTGAGAGAAAGAACATCCATAAATGAATTTTTTTTTGTTTGTGGATTTTTTTTCTTGATGGGCTCACGTGTGCATCTATGCCTGTATATGTGGTGTGTGTGTGTGTGTGTGTGTGTGTGTGTGTGTGTGTGTGTGTGTGTGTGCGCGCGCGCGCGCCATCTGCTTCTGGACATGGATCTTG